TTTAAAAATTCACCAGTATTGAAGAATGAGTTATATATACATGTACAAGTAGTTGTAGAAGCATAAATTTTCGTGAGGATAAAATTTCGTTTCGATTTGTCTTGGAAAATTTGATAAATTTCTTTTTTCAAATTTAAAAAAAAGGTGCTTTTATGGCATGTTCAACATTAAACCTGCATAATTATATCCACTGTCTTGCTGTAATTTGTAGATAAAATATTTTTTCTGATTATTATAAGTGTTATACATGTATACACTGTATTTCTTGATGTTTGATAGCTTTGAAATAAGAGGGGGAAAACGTCATAAAAACTATCGTTTACTATATTTTCTTTTTTTCGGGAAATATAAGGTGTTAATTTGAAAACACAAAGGTGATGATGTAGGTAGAAATGAACAAATCCATGCTTTATAGTTTTACTCACTCGATGATGGTCGATGCAGTCATTAAATCAATATAACCATGTTATCGGAAGACAGACCGACTGCGAGTGGATGTCCCAAGTTGGGTACAAACGTACAGAAAACAGGCCGAGCAATCATTTTTAATTCTGAGTTTACTGCCGGGAGGGGAGGGAAAATGTGCATTACGAATTTAATAAATCAATCATATTGTTTTGACGGGCCCTACTTTTTTGCAGCCCTTGGCGCCATGTTAGCTTCAAACAGCAAAATCCTCCTGAGATGAGAATTAGTCGAAATGCTGTTTCTGCATGGATGTTTAAGTTATGTGCATAATTTATACAATACATGTATGCGAACATTTGGAAGCAGGAAGAACCTATTCAAATTAAAACTAGAGGTATTGTGAGCAATGAGCACAATAAATGATACCCACGCCTCTCAAATGACTATAATGGCGAAGTCCATGTTTTGCTCTAGGAGACCAGAAATAAGTGTCAAATCAAAAAGTAAAATAGGAGGTGCATATGATAGCATTGTCAATGGCAGAATCTTTGAAAATACAGACGGACGTCTGTACGCGGACGTCTGTTACGCTTTGGAGTATCCATCTCTTATCCGTAACTCCTCTTTTAACACTGAATGAAATTCAATGAGACTTTCACAGAATCTTTGTTACATAGTGCCATATGAATGTGCATCTTCTATGTTACTTTTTGATCGGACATATTTTTTGGGTTTCCCATTCTTCCTATAATATTGAAGGGTATACCCATCTCTTATCCGCAGCTCCTCCTCTACCACTGAATAAAATTTATTGATATTTTCATTTAGTGCATAATTTCAATGTGCACCTCCTACTAGTATTTTACTTTTTGATCTGACACTTTCGGGTCTCCCAGAGCAAAACATGGACTTTGCCATTATAACCATAATAGCAACGGGGGTATCTTTAAGTGAGTGCATTACTTGACAGTATCTCTATTTTTATATCCCCCGCTTGAAAAGTGGGAGGGTATATAGGGATCGGGATGTCCGTCCGTGTGTTTTTTATTAGACTGAGGAAAAAATCAAACGAATTGGGTTGAATTTTAACAAATTTTAATTTGAAATACATTGACAGTGACTGTAGCCCCAAGTAGAGGGATAATACTGGGATTAGCGATTAACCTTAGACATTTTCGAACAAGAGCAAAATATTGGTATTTTGAAATCATTTAGCATACTGCGTCATTTGGTTTATGACAGTTTAATATTCAATTCAAAAGGACAACGTATCTGAAAATGACTATTTTGATCTCACAGTTTCGTCATAGTCCATTGTGGTTAACCATATGGTGGTTATAACATTTACATCCGAACGTCAAGAAATGTCAAATATGTAGGTAAACTTTCATATATTTTTTAAAATAGAATTTTTTATTGGAGAAAATAAGTTAATACATTGTTACGTAAGTAGCTCATTTCTTACACTTTGTAGATGCTACGTATTCTTGAAACATATATTGCAGAATATTGTTCACAATTAAGCTCTGTACTCAACAGAGCTTTAATTCTTGTTATTAAACATACCCCATTTTAAATAAAAAATTTGATTCTGATTTCAGCTGTGTTTGAAATTTCCAATCTAGTTTCGTCTTAAAGTTGACATTTACAAGATTATTGTAAAACGGCAAAAAATGTTGTAAGGAAAGCGGAGAATTATATGGCTACAATATAAAATCGGCACATTCTTTAATTAGCAAAGGGACTGGCATTCAGTGAATATTTGGTGCATTAAAGATGGGAAAAAATCCTCTGTACATGTGATGTAAAGATACTAAAAAGCGTCCTGTTTCATTGATTGTTTAGGAGAAGGGCCACCTGGGAGATGATTCGGCAGATCACATGATCATTTAGAATGGTTATAGTCTCATAAACACCAAAAAGACATTTATTGCTCAAAAATATCTGCACTAATTGCCAGTAAAATGCATTCTTTACATACACCAGTGACCAATGACTTTTTTGTTCCGTCCCCAAACCGTTATTGACCTAACCTGGTCAGATGACCGTGCGGTTCCATGCTTTAGCATTTGGATGATAGTGCGGAATATAAGAAGAGGAAATCCTGACTTAGAAATCAATTCCAACTGTACGGCTTTGACAGAAAGAGCAGAAATCAATAGCCAGAACGGGGGGGATTGTATATATATACATCCAGAATAAATGTGAATGCATGGTTACCCCGAGCTCATAGCAGTACAGTATTAAACCCGTGTATAATTGTACGCGACTTAGTTGTTCTACAGATAGTTAAGGATGAAGAAGGTGGAAAATGTCTATGGTTAACCCTGGCTGATGTTCAACATTACGCAAGAATCACTCCTACGTCACACTAATACTCTGGGGTTCTTGTAACGAGTATACATCGGAAATATCGATACAGATAAAAGCAACCCAATGAAATGGCTGCTCTGACATTATACTCGGGTATATAGGTCCGTATGAACTTCATATAAATTGGAGGAATTCGTTTGAACTCCCACTTTGCCCTGTTTTCTGCTCATAAATGATAAAAAATGCTGGAAAAATAGACAAGCTAGACCTATAATTATTTTTTCCCCATGCATTCTATGGAGTTTTTCTTATAGCTATAGTATTATACTTGATTATATAAAGTTTATGGGTATCTAGGGTATATACCAGAATTTATCAATTTTCAAGCTGAAATGTTGGGCATACTGGGCAGGCACGTAGCAACGAGGGGGGGGGGGGCTGCCTCCCCCCCCCCCCCCACTTTTTTGCCAATTATACTTTTACTATTGGAAATGTTCTTTGAAAGGTTGGTTGCCCCCCCCCCCCCCCCCCCCCCCCCCCCAACGATAGTGCATTAAGCTTATATCAAGGAAAATACAGTATAGAAAGCAGAAAAATTGGTACCGAAAGAAGTTGGCATTGAAAAAATTTGGCCTCTACACCCCCCCCCCCCCCCCCCCCCCGAAATAGGATTTTTCGAGTTTTGTTTTGTTTTTTTTTTTTTTTTTGCTTGTCAACTTTTTCAGAAAGTCAAAAAAAATTCTCTGGCTGGCCCCCAACTTTCAAAAACGATGCTACGGTGCTGCTGGGACAAATATGAACACTTGTACATCTTTACAAGAAATTTTGCGTAGATTTAGACAGATGGAGCAAGGAGGCGGTGCAACAAACCCCCTCACCCACACCCACCCCGCTTTTTGGCATATTGTATGTTTTATGCCAATACCTCTTTGGATAATTTTCAATTGAAGATTTAAAAAAAAAACAGTCATGCTTAAAGTTCATTTGATTTTGCAAAGGGTTTGAAATACACACAATTTTTTTTCCGACAGGGTAGAGAGGTCAATTTCTCACGCTACTCACATTTTGAAGGAAAGGTTATTATATGCTCGAGATTATTAAATACTATGAGTATAATAATTGCACAGTGTATGTATACCCTTTCCTATACAATGGGTGTAGATTTTCTGAATTTTTAGGCACTTTTATTAACTTACTAGTGCCTCGATCACTTTGGCTGTGTTGTCCACTAGACATGTACATTGGTGTTATACTACAGTGTTTTGATTTTTATGGATCCATGAGCTAATTGAATACATATATTATCGATATTTTCTTTACTTAGATACTAGTATGCTCTTTTTAAAGTGATTGTGCTACTGGAGACATTGTTAGTTATCTTGCAGAAAAATTAAATTTAATGACATTAAACGTGTTTTTCATCACAATTAAACATTCCCTATTTCAGGCATGAAAATTGGTGGTACTTTCACACTTGACAAAGGAAATTTTGGAGTCAGTACACATCTCTTCCAGCCCCGAAGTGTCACCGTCTTGTGTATATACTAGTATTGGTAATCAATAGCAATAAAGTCATTAATCAAATTCTTGGTCTTAATTTAAATTGTCAGAAGGAATGGATCTGCATGCTGCAAGGCTCGATAATAGAATTACTCAGATAACTAATCCCAATGTACAGTAAAAGTGGGAATTCATTTTCAATTTGAATTATTAACTAGCATTCCAATTTAGATGGTTTCGATATAACAACTTTTCAGTGATGTTTATCAAGATATCATATCGAACACGAGTGAAATACTTATCCAAAAATCACAAATCAGAGTACAGTGTATATGAAAAATTCACCATGACTGTACCAAGTTTAATCGACAATTTTCCCTAAACCGCAACTCAGTGTCATTTTTAAGTACCCCCTTCCTTTTATTACACAAAAGCACAAAGAAAACCTTTTTTTGTGGTGTACCCTCACTAAAAATTCTGAGAACCATTTTTTTCTCTTTAAATAGATTTTTTTGTCCATAACCCCAGTCGAGGGGCAGACGAGATCCAACAGAATTTCCAACTCACTGACCATGCAACAGGTTTTTTTAATCCGTTAAAATGTTGTAGTTAGCCTAAGTTTTTTTTTTTCTTTTTATCAGAAATAAAAAATTCAGTAACTCCTGCCTTGGCAAAGGATGAGCCAGGGGACCAGGCTACACTTTTGAATATGCTTTTGGCCAAACCTGTAGAAGAAGAAATGTCGCGGGCGTTGGCAAGGTTGCGCAGAGCTCTGCGCATTCTAGTATTTTCGTATGTAAATAAGATGTTGTCAACGCCATCTTGAAGGGAATTGTTTACTATTAGAAATCGGGGCAAATCATGCATCATATGTGCCATCGAAGACTTTAATAAATGGTTTCATTCTGATTAAAGCCCCAGGATGGCTACCACAGAAACTAAATTATCTACGACCGAAAGAGTCGTGAAAAGTAAGTAATTCGTTTTAATGCGACAAAAATAGTACCCGATCCGCCATATTGGCTGTCGGCCATGACTGTGCAACTGACATCCGTTTATGGCATCAGTATATATTTTGTTTGAATGTAAAATATAGTATTGTATGCTTCAGTTAAAGCATAAAGCTTTTGTCTTATTTAGGTTATAGAGTAAAGTTTGAGTTGCAATCTGTGAACAATTTTAGAAACTGCGGAGTAGATTCTGCAACTGCAGATGTCATCTCTTCATCCAATGACGAATGACGTTGAAGTGCGTTCTTCAGCGATGTTTGTCTTGACTGTTGTTAAGAGTATGAGAGGATATACAGAGAAATAAAAGTATTGACTGATTGATTGCTGGTTTTTCAGGCTTTGCGACATAGACGTTTTTGTTAGTTGCAGCAAAATTTGTAACTCATCATTGTCGTTACCTTGCTCTTAGCTTTAACTTCAGTTTGACACTTTCTTGTATCCTAAAAGCCGTAAACGCATGTTCCATATCACAATGAACACTGTATGATTTGTTTTTTGGGAAAATGATTTGGCTTTTAAGGGGGCCGACTATAGTTTTATTGTGTGAAAACTACAATAGCGAAACTCTTTATTTTTATAGCATATATTACTTATATTAACTTCAGTGTACATGCAAAGTTTGGGCGAAATCTACCGTCCAGGTATTTTTGAGGGACCGTCTCAAAATACAGGTACATTTACTATAGGATTATATAGGAAAATGCCAATTTGTAGCACATTAAAGAAAATTATACAATTACTACAATAGAGATTTTGTTCAAACTATAATATTTGATGCGTAATACTATATTATACAATATATGTAAGAAACACAAAATTCTACCGTCTTGTTACCAGAGGGGGCATCTCAAAATGCAAAAAATAAGCAAATTTTACTATTTTTATGGAGTATTACAAAATATGACGTACACAGTGGATTCACATGAAAACATAATAAAAATATTGGATATATTCTCAAATTTCCATCTTTTAAATTTCCAAAGCGTATCTTTATTACTTTTTCTTTAATAATATTTTTATGACCCCTTTCTTTAAGAGCTACAGAGTATCATAACGTCAAAAACACACTGCAACGACGTCAACCTACCTATCAATTGCAAAATCGGTTAAAAACCAGTTATATCACATTGTAATTACATTTCTATACCTATGATTTCTTAATTTTGTTTAATTTCAATAATTTAGCGAAAAAAGTTGCATTAAAACAGTAAATACTCATCATTTTATTATGATGCGCAAAATATTGCGCAATGGAAACTATAGTCGGCCCCCTTAAGTGAGAGGGGGTCAGTTTTCACCTCTTTATTTTCTAAAATGCTCTTGTTTTCCCCAAAACTGAAGATTCTGTTCAGTGTGATGAAGTAGGTGAAGTTATGAAAAGTTAGAATGCTAGTATGAGGACTTTAAGCACATGGTACTTGTTTATATTTTGGGCCATTCAAAGGTCCCATTCCATGTTCAAAAAAGATAAATTTTTGTCAAAATGGAGTTGTTAATTTTTGTACACCAGCCAATAACCATCTTTGCTAGCCAAGGGTTTTCGGTCCGCAACGCTCCCCATAAACCCTTGGCCGATATGCACTGTAAAATGCCGTTCACACATACCGCCATCTGTAAAATCTTCAGAAAGAACAATAATTCTGTTTGAAGCAAACAGCCAATGAAATGATAGCTTTAATGTACGTTTCGGTAGAAATTATACACAGTATGGTGACTTCCATTGAAACAACATTTGGAATACAAAAATTTTTAATTCTTTCCAACAAGAAGCGATATATGCTTTAATGGACATACGTGGTGTGTTCATAGGAACAAAAACAGGTTTACACATGCGTTAGAATTTCCTCGAAAACTTCTCGAAAGTTCTAGGCCGTAAATTGAAAACAGTTTTTTCATTGGTCCACTCTCCAATGAAAATTGACCGGCGTTTTTACAGTGCATATCAGCAAAGGGTTTATGGGGGAGCGTTGCAGACCGAGGACCCTTGGCTAGCGACAATGGCCAATAACCCCACCCCAAGCCCCAAAAAAGAACGCATAGGTAGATACATAGTAACTGAACTTGTCACTCGTATTCTAAAACAGTATTAAATAAAGTAATAACAGGTAGTTTTTAGAACCCAAAGTAAAATGTTTTTCTTAATATTCCCCAAGCAAAAGACTGCTAGTTTTCCCATTCTTTACGACTCTAGACCAGGTCCCAAAAAGTGATGCCAGAGCCTGGATGATGTATGTGCAATAGTGATGGATGTAATGATTTTGATTCACACATAATGCTGCACAACTTGCCCAGAATGATAAAGTCTAACTTGTATGCCTAACATATAAAATGAAAGTGAAATAATTTGAAAAGTACAGAACCCATATAAATTCATGTATCTTGAAATACTTCATACCTTTTATATGATGAAAAGGATGATTATTGAAGGAAGGGACAGTGATTGGGAAGGCCATAATGGTCAATGGGACTATGGCGCAACTGTCAACATTTTTGATGTGCCATTTTGAAAATGAATGGGCCATCAATATAATCTGAAGGGCCATCGTAAGAAATAAAGTGACAAACAAATATGAAGTACGAGAGAAAACACGTTTTTAATTAAACGAGTCTAATTTTTTACTTATTCAATGCAGCAAATTCAGAGGAACTCGCATAGAATATAATTGACCCATATTTTGCGTTGAAATTACGATAGTTTTGGAAAGGAAATGACCCTACCATACAAATGAATGAAGTAATGTACCTAATGTTAGTGCTTCATTTAACCAGAAGTAGTTTTTGATAGGGTTCAACCAATGAGATTTCTTGTTTTAAATTGCCTGCATTTAAAACGAAAGTAAAATAAGTAAGAAAGTTGTATGCAAAATATTTCCAAATAACATCGCGAAAAATTGAATGCGCACTTTGGCGACATGATTGATTGATTAAATGCGCCATTTTTCGCTTCAATGCGACTATGGCGTGTGATGAAAGCCCTTCCCAATCACTGAAGGGAAATCTAGTAGAAGCTGTTTCAATTCTTATTTCATTTTCCTTATCATGCTTATCATTAAAAGTTGACAAGGTGGAAGTATTTATGTTATAAATTATTGGAAGTCATTTAATTTAATTGAAGTGCAAAGAAGGGTACCGCAAAGTGGTGCATCCCTTCATAAAATAGCATATCTATAAATCAAAACAGCTTTCAACATCAATCCCCATGCAAATCATGTCACTTCCATTTTGCACAAAGAGAAACTAACACTCACACACACAAACAGACAAGTGCTAACTCTGTTGTTAGGGGGTAATAATCCAATAGTAAAAATGTTTTGCTCTAATTATCTAATATTAGTCAAATTGCTATTGGGCACTACTATTTTGAATTAAAAATAGAAGGTCCTGTCCATATAGTGAAAAATCAATATTCTGACACGATTGCTACTAATTCTAGGCATCATGGCGATGTCATACCCTATCCCATTTTTAGTGAAGAACCAAAATGCCTAGGATGTGTTGCAGAAAATGTTAACCTAAATTTTGAATTTTACAGGTGTTCCATTTCCCCCCAGCCACAAGCTCTCTATGAATGAAGTATTTGACGCAAAAGGCAAACCCAAACCTGATGTATTGAAACAGCATTTTATCATGGAAGGGCGCGTCTCGGAGGACGTAGCGCTGCGCCTTATTAACGACGGTGCTGCCTTGTTACGACAAGAGAAGACCATGATTGACATTGAGGCACCTGTCACAGGTTGGCATTTAGGATCTCTTTGAAAATTATGCAGCAAAATGCTTTGGAATATATTACCTTGCATATTTCACATTCATGTTTTATTGTTAAAATGCAGTAATCATGGTAATAAGTATAAGAGAAAATTCCATGACTAGCTCACAAGAATGTCAATTAGATACCAATAGGTTAGAGACTTAGAGTTCAACATTTGCTGAAGAAAAGACTGCTTGTCATTTCTATCATATAATAAAAGGGGCGATCACATATTGACCCACAGATTCAGCTGTTACTAGTTTGAGATTCAAATCATAATGAGGTCAATTTATTTTAACAACGAAAATGAATGTACATGAAATAAAGACAAAAGGATGTCGAAATACTATTTTTTTGTCATTGTTCGTTTTTGTAAAAAGCATAAAGAATTTTTTAATTCTGCAAAGGATGAGTTAATTGAAAAGATATACATTTCTTTGATACGTCATGATTTTTGTGGGGTGCTTCTATAAGATGGGTGTCCTTAAAAGAACTATATCAAAAGAAGACATTTTTAAAGCTAATTAAAAATGTATATGATTTACTTTTACTCCATTTTTGATGGTAACATATTTTATTAGTGTAAAGGATCCTCTGCATCTTCCATAATTGTACAAGCTTTGGTCTGTATTTTCAGTGTGTGGAGACATCCATGGTCAGTTTTATGACCTGATGAAACTGTTTGAAGTAGGTGGACCACCTTCCACAACACGCTACCTCTTCCTTGGTGATTATGTCGACAGGGGATACTTCAGCATAGAGGTAAAGAAACAGTTTGATTGAAGACATTTACTTTTTTTAACTGGAGTAGTTGAAAGATTCATTAATTTTCTGTGACACATGGTCAATTGTTCAAAGATCTTTTGCCATGCTCTAATAATAAATTAACTGAAAGAATTGTACTTTGGTCATTTGAGAAAAATCAAAATGATTCAAGTTTTTATGCATGATTTTATCTTATAAAGACACCTCCTATGGTTATAAAAACATTTTGCTATGAAAAATATTACATGAAACATAAAATATATTTACAACCATATATAATCAAGGAATATTTGGATCTTAATATGTTTTTGTTTTGTTTTTTTTAGTGTGTGTTATATCTGTGGGCCTTAAAGATACTGCACCCAACCACATTTTTCCTCCTACGTGGAAATCATGAGTGTAGACACTTAACGGAATATTTCACATTTAAACAAGAATGTAAGTGACTTTTATTGTTTAATGACAGTTTAATACGTAGATTTGATAATTAAAGATGCTATCAGATTTATTATCCGATGGGTATCTATTTAGTAAATTTTTCATTGTGAAAATAGTGTTTCAGTATGCTTCCTTGCTTGGAAGATGTAGAATAACCTGTAGAACTATAAATAGAGGTCTTTCAAACCAAAGGTTTAGATATTTTATTTATCTTATATGTAATTGATTGTACATTTTTAGCTCTACTGGTCAGAGACCAGAAGAGCTTATGCGATATAACTTCCCTATTTTGTTGTCTGTCTGTCTGTAAACAATTTTTCAAAACGCTACTCCTCCTACATATTTGGTCTGATTTTAATATAACTTGGCACACAAGTAGACTACACAAAGACACATAAAATAGAGCATCGAATTTTGATTTCAATGAACGGTGTTGCCATGGTTACTAAAAATAGAATTTTCTGTGAAATTCCTTTAAAATGCTACTCCTCCTACACTTTTGAACTGATTTCAATATTACTTGGCACACAAGTAGACTACACTAAGATACATAAAAAAGTGCATCGGTTTTTGATTTCGATGAACGGTGTTGCCATGGTTACTAAAAATAGAATTTTCTGTGAAATTCCTTTAAAACGCCACTCCTCCTTCAGTTTTGGTTTGATTTTAGAATAACTTGGCACACAAGTAGACAACACAAAGATACATAAAATAGTGCATCGAATTTTGATTTCGATGAACGGTGTTGCCATGGTTACTAAAAATAGAATTTTCTGTGAAATTCATTTAAAACGCTACTCCTCCTACAATTTTGATCTGATTTCAATATAACTTGGCACACAAGAAGACTACACTAAGATACATAAAATAGTGCATCAGTTTTTGATTTTGATGAACGGTGTTGCCATGGTAACTAAAAATAGAATTTTCTGTGAAATTCCTTTAAAACGCTATTCCTCCTACAATTTTGATCTGATTTCAATATAACTTGGCACACAAGTAGACTACACTAAGATACATAAAATAGTGCATCGGTTTTTGATTTCGATGAACGGTGTTGCCATGGTTACTAAAAATAGAATTTTCTTTGAAATTCCCTTAAAACGCTACTCCTCTTACAATTTTGGTCTGATTTCAATATAACTTGGCACACAAGTAGTCTACACTAAGATACATAGAATAGTGCATCGGTTTTTGATTTCGATGAACAGTGTTGCCATTGTTACTAAGAATAGAAATGTCTGTGAAATTCCTTTTAAACGCTACTCCTTCTACAGTTGTGGTCTGATGGCAATGGCTTCTTTTCTCATCCTTTGTTATAAGTACAAACCAGTAGAGCTACAGTCTTGACAGAGACTTCTGGTTTCTGATGTATGTATCGTCAGGTTATTTTTTATAACTTTTCTATTTTGTTGTTCAGCTATGTATGCTACCTCGTGATATCTAAAATAATATCTTGGCCCTATAATGTCCTTGGGATATTTTTGTGTGCTGACCATGAAAAATTGTGCAAGTTGGCTTATAAACTTAAGGAAAATATCATATTTATTTGAATTGTTGTTCTAAGTATTGAATTTCTGGACTGCGTAATGAGAAAGACTCTAACATTGTTTATATGACATGCTAAACATGTTTAAAGTGTGAAATTCAATATACAAATAAGAACATAGTTATAAAGTAATGTTTAATGAATTTCAACTGAGGAAAAAAGAAAATATGTTCATGTATTTAATTTGAGGATGTATTATGTGCTGTTTAAAGATGACCAGACAGTGTTGTTGTTTAGTTTAGTACTGATATGAAGTTTCAAGAGCTCTAAACAACATTAATTAATCAACAATTTGACCTCTTCTGCTTCAAGATAGAACAAGGAGATGAAATGCACTTATCACACTTACTAAGTGATGAGTATGAATGTTAGAATGTGCAAGCTAGGTCTTCATAATATCACATTTTTTAAAGGGAGAAGGTAGATAAAGTACATTGGTATCTCACTTAATCTTGTATTCTGTCCTATTCCGTCATCATACATCTTGGTAGATCTGGGCATTTCTAAACGGCTTTCTTGTGGGAGTCTACTACAGAATGTGTATAGTGCAGATTGATGGCTCTCTGCCAATGAATCTTTTTTATTCTATTTTTTCCATTCCAGAATTAAGTCAGTTTTTTTCACCTTTGAGTGAGAGTGAGGTTTTATGCAGTTCTTTGAATTTTGTTTAACCTTGAAAAGTTGTTGCCCTTGTAGGACTTCAATTCTGTCTAATCTTAATTAGAAAATTATCCAAGAGGCTTAAAATTTAATCAGGTCAAAATCAAGTTTAATCATGTAACGTAAACTAACATTATACTAAAGTTTTGTTTGGCATTAAACACTGAATGTTTTTAAAAAGATGAGCATAGTGTGCCAGTTATGTCCAAAGGACAGCAATGCATTGTGAAACTAAAGTGACAAGTGAATATACTCTGTGTGTGATTGTGTTATTTTAATAATCAGATGAGCTGCATACAGAGTAAGGCTGAACAGTTGATCAATGTCTTTATTGAAGGTGCTGGAAAACAATGTGTCTGGTAAATTGTGGCATGTCTGTATACAATGCATATTGATCTGTTCTCAAATGATACATGAACCAGTCCACAGAGTGTAGCTGTCATAGCCCATTGAATCTTGATTTATTTAGACTGTGAGTGTAGGCTTACCAAAAACATTAAGTATGTTACATATTGCATAACAGTTTTTTGATTTGTGGCAAAAGCACATTGAAGACCTTGGTATTAGCCTTTATAAAAGTACGAGGTGCCTTGTCTGTAGAAGACAATCGTTTTATTTGTCAAGGATATACCTCCCTCCAAGCCCTGTCATTTAATTGCATTCCATTGCTGTGTATTGATCTTGTACCTTGATCCACTTACCCAAATCTGATTTAAAAATCTAGCAATCGGGCCATATACAATGATTTTTTTTTTTTTTACAAAGCCTATTCATTGTGTATTGTTTTGTTTTGGACTCCATTTACAAGCTGTGTTTTCTTGGTTCATCTCATTGGACATGTTGGAAAGCTGATGCGCAGAATTGTCTGATTATTTGAATTTTTAAAAACTATATAAATTAGTCTTAGAAAAGCATAGTTCTTAAGGCCGAGAGAACAAGTTTTGCACCAAAAAAAATGTGTTGAATCATCTAACAAGTTCTCTCGGTAAAAGTGTTTTAATCCAAATATGGAAACCTAATTTGAGATTTGTAGAGCAGTGAGAGTGAATCACAATATTGATGCAAAAAAAATCCAGGATGATAATTAATCATGCAAAACTGTTGTGCATATAAAGATCTATACAGTAAGCTCACTATTGATTTCTTATATTTTTTCTGCAGAGAATTGACTGACTGACCTTGTTTCTTTCAGGTAAAATAAAATATACAGAAAAAGTGTATGATGCTTGCATGGAAGCGTTTGATTGTTTACCCCTAGCAGCTTTAATGAATCAACAGTTTTTATGTGTCCATGGCGGGCTTTCACCAGAAATCCACAATTTAGATGATATTAGGAAAGTGAGTACAATGTGAAACAGCTGTAGTCGTTTGATGTTTGGAATAAAATGCACAGTCATAGGCTAGCAGTTATCTCTGGCTCTCGTTATATGCTATGCATGAATCTTCATTATATATTGTGCAGCCTTAGAACTATTATATCGGATATAACAAAAATGTAAATTTCTCACCAATAATCAGTCGAATACATGCCTGTTAGGCTAGAGGTATGGATGGTTTTGCTGTCTGTTAATGCACTAACTTGCCTGCAGAATTAACCTGTCTGCAAAATTATAACTCTGTAGCAGTTGTGTGTAGGTGTGCGATCAACCCTTGCCTTATCACATGAATGCAGCTGAAGGAAAGCGAAATTGATGAGAAGACCAGCATGTTTGACTTGTTGCGTGATGGCAAAAAAAAAAAAAAAAATGGGGCGATTGAATTTTTTTTTTTTTGTCTTTGGGTTAAATACAAGCCAATATCTGCTGACCTCCTCTCTTAGTCCTCATTTTCCTGGTTCTGATAGATTAGATAATGTCTAATAGGCAGCTGAACTCAATGAGGCTTTCTTTTATAAAGCTTGTCCCATTTGGCAAAACAGCTCCCGAATACCAGTGAATTATGTAATTGCTTATAATTTCACATGGTTCTAGGCTGCCAAATAGCCAATGTCTTCTGCAGCTGTTGGCATACTATTTGTTGTTGTTTGTATGCAAGATTATTGGCACATGCAAGCCCTAATTGATTAAAGGTGACTGTTAAAACAATGAGATTAAGATAACTGCAATTGTTGAAAATAACTTGAATATATTGATTTGTATCCATGAAATGAATAAGAAATTAAAAATGGATAGTATTTAAATAATCTTTATGAATCTATTTCAGTTGGATAGGTTTAAGGAACCTCCAGCATTTGGTCCCATGTGTGATATATTATGGTCAGACCCCTTAGAAGACTTTGGATCAGAGAGGACATCAGAACATTTTACTCATAATAGTGTTAGAGGTTGCTCATATTTCTACAGGTAACACAACTCTTGCCTCTCTGCACCCAGTCTATAGATAATAATGGTCATGGTTTGTGACACATCTGCTTTGTTCTGTGGAGAAAGGGATTTTCATCATTGACTGTCAATGACACCTCTCCACAATATCGTTATTGTTAGATGTGTCGCCTCCCATGTTCACATTTATTTTTTTTCCTGATGGTTTATTATTGAATTGAACATATTTTCTTTTCTCTTTCAGCTATGCAGCATGTTGTGATTTTTTGCAGCAAAATAACTTATTATCAATTATCAGAGCACACGAAGCACAGGATGCTGGGTGAGTTCTATTAAGGAATCAAAGAGTAATGAAGATTTCATTATAGATGTAGTACTTCATCTCCTGCAAGTGATTCTGTTCTAAGAGACTTAGTCTTACTTTTCTTTATCCAGTTTTGATTATAGGTCAGTACAAGTGCATTGTAATTATCTTTTTATTTTTGTCTTAAACCTGTTAGATTTGTATACTCAACATGTTCAAATACAGAGAGAGAAAAAAATGAAGATCATGTCATTCATAAAAAAAGGAAATCTTATGTTTTTTTTAGATTGAATTTAAAACAACATTGACATTCTCATTCTAGTGTTTGATGTTTTCCAGGTACCGGATGTACAGAAAAAGTCAAACAACAGGATTTCCCTCTCTAATTACAATATTCTCTGCACCAAATTACTTAGATGTATATAATAATAAAGGTAAGTGAAATAACTAGACCAGTCGAACAGTATCTGGGTGGTACATCTTTAATAAACTTTAGCATTCTTTTAAAATGAGGTCTTGGGGACGTCACCAGTATGTGAAAAATTAAGATTCTCCATTGAAGGATAAATCAATACCCATGGGCAAAATGTTCAAAAGGTAAAGAGACCCTAAATTTGCCATCAAGGATACCAAAAAAGATATATCCCTTACATATTTGGGTATTTGATTAATGGTTATTGTCTTGCATTGTAACCAGCCTGTTACTATTACTATGATTGAAAAACTTGAGAAGGTTTACATTAAAACAGGTATAGACTTAAAACTTGCTAAATATAGGTCATTTGAATTGAAAAATTGGGCCTGTAGAGCTCAAATTTCAAACTATGTTTTACATAGCAACACACTATTAAAATAATTAATTGACTGCATTATTTTTTTTTTAAGCTGCCATATTAAAGTATGAAAACAATGTGATGAATATCCGACAGTTCAACTGTTCACCACATCCGTACTGGTTGCCAAATTTCATTGATGTTTTTACATGGTCTCTTCCATTTGTTGGAGAGAAAGGTTTGAAAATTTAGTCACCTTAAAACCTTTTAAAATTATGGTAACACATGTATATTGAAAATACATCAAGAGTCAGTTTAGAATTCAGATTTCTGAAGAAAACATAATTTAGCATGATTTCAACAGTAATATGTGTTTGATCTTTCTTGCAGTGACGGAAATGCTAGTAAATGTGCTCAGCATTTGTTCTGATGACGAGTTGATTAGAGATGAAGATGACACATTTGAAGGTACAGATTATTGGCATTTTATTCATTTTGCATTGAATTAATTAAATGATGTTTTCATTATCTATATATATATCTATTTATAATAATGTTCGAAAGATATTGGCTTTGGAATGTGATTGTGTGAATCAATTCCTTTTTGCGGAATGTTATTTTTTTGCAAAGTCTTTCTGTGCATTACAGACATTGAATTTAACTTGTAAAGATTTAAATGTGCAGTTAGAAATAACCAAAAAAGCTAGGATGATGGGGGAAGATGTTATGATTATTTACTAGGAATATTAATGATGCTATATTTTTCAATCAAATAGGAACTGATGAAGGTAAATCTACTTATAGCAGTGCAATCTGTGTAGTCAAAAGATGGTTAAAACTCAGAACTGTAAAAAAAAAAAAATCTGTATTGTGTAGATCTATCCTTGTGTTGTTGCATATTTTGGGAAATGTTAGCTGCACACTCTATAGACCAAATGTACTTGTTTAGTTGAAGTGATATTGTTTTGTCCAGTTTGAATTCACAAAATCTTTTTCCCCCAAGTTTTGTTTTTCTTTTGTTTTTTGGGTTAAACCGAAAGTTACTAGAACTATTAGCAGTATTTTTATCTTTTTTTTTCCTCTCCAAATTGTTAGAATTTTCCTTTTAGTCTGTCTCTGAAGATGTGTTTTTGAATATGGCACAAAAATTTTGAGAAATGGGTGGGGCTGGTTTAGAGAATATGTTCTTGTATGTTTCAGTAAAGAAAAATACAACTTCTGTTGTGGTACACATATTTATTGCTTATCACAGATTCAGCATGGCTTGAAACTTGAAACACCAGCTTCTTTAGTGGTAGGCACAAGATACATGTATTTTGACATTCAACTTTATGCAATAGTTCATAAGGAATAACAGTGATGGGCTTTGCTTACAAAATGATTATTGACAAAGTAATGTATGATAAGATTATTGACTAGAGAATTATTTGAAAACCCAAATAGTTAAATGAAGTGAAAATCCATGATCATTGTATATGTAACCATATTATTCAGAGGTGAAGCTTAGGTGAAGGGTAGCCATGGTCAGGTCTTGGAGCTTGAGAAGCATGAAAATAAGTTGTTTGTTTTCAAAAACAAGATTATGTACACCTGCTAAAACCAGTGGAATATATATTTTTTTTTTTTGGAAAAGTTTTGATTACATACCTTCAAATGTAAACTGAGATTCTAATGAGCACGAATGCATGTGGATAACCCCCACCAATATTTCAAATTAACAGTTCTGTTAAATTTTGACAGTGGGAAGCAATATGGTACTGATTTAAATACCCCTAAAAGCTACATACACTATTGATAAATTTTGAGCGTAAATGTATTTCTAAGTTCAAATTGTACTTAAATATCATGTTCCTTGTAGTTTGTTTTATTTTTTTTTAAATACTTATGATTTGAAAAGTCACTGTTTTATTAAAGAGACTTGTTCCTGTTACTCTGTAGCTTTTAGGTGATGTTAAAATCAGTTTGTCACTTTTGTGTCAGACCAGTCATTAATTAACAATAATTTAGTAAAGCCACCAGTACAAGGCAGTCATTACACCTGCTGATTTTTCTGTATTCAAAACCAAGAGATTGTGCTGGTCTGACTGTGTGTAAAGATTGTAACTCTGTGTCTTGTTGGTTCCCTTCACAATGGTTTGCATGTTTACTGTAGGACCTCGTAATGGTAAGTCAAGAGTCCAGACTGCTGTGGTTATAGCTTAGAGCCATCAGTATATACACATAACTTGCATATTGCTCTGCTAGAAGCCTTTTATAACCCTATATAGCTGGATGTGAAGTGCAACTGCCTGTAGTTTTTTTTTTTTTTTTTATACATATATATAGCTTTTTTGCTTGAAGAAGTGGTACTCAGTTTATCATGAAGTCAACAAGATTGACTAATAGATTTATGTAACATTCTAGTTTCTGACCCCAAAGACCAGGATAAAGAGGCAAGTAAGTGTCTCCAGCATGGACCGCATCTGTGTCATTGCCTGGTTGGCCCCCTCAAAGATGCTCCATCCCCCCACCCCCATCACTAGTCCTCAAGATTCTCCATCTTTTATTGCTAGCACAAAATTCAGAAAAAAGAAGTTACATAGTTGCCTCTGATGACTAAGCAGTATTTGCTGTGTAACTTGCCTTGCTTTTTAAGCATATTATAATCCAGAAGAAAATTATTTTTAAACTTCCTCGCAATACATCTTTTAGCATTAAATTTTGGCTCCCTAGCTTTAATGTATGACAAAGCAACTCAGAAAGTTACTTTATAAATGCTATCTACATTTTCACAAGAAAGTGGAGTGGAGCATCAAAAGGAGTAATTTGTTGTGCTTACTACAACATGTATAGAAATATATTCAAAGAATCTACTTGTGTCGCTCTTAACAGCTACAAGATTTGTGAAACATATTTTACAAGTTGCAATTTTAATAGGCTCTACACTTGTTATGTCAATAAGTGCATTGTTAAAAAATGGCACATGTTTTCATTAACTGTTTTCTAATGTAGATGTCTGTTAGTGCTTCATGGCAGATGGCTGCTCGAACTAAGTAATAGGACAGGGAAAAAAAGCATTTTTATGTCTTTGTATTGCTTCATGTAAAAAAAGTTATTACAGACACTAAAAATGTAAACTAGGTCCTAATCTACTACTCGTGTCATTAAGTGGTCAGCCTTTATGGTCTAACATTGCTCTGACACTTGTGCACATAGCTTCAAAAAGAATTCACATGCAGTGTATATATGTACTTAATTTTTGGGGAATACCTTGCCTTGTTTCTATGAACACTTTTACTGATACACCAGTATTAACCTGTAGACCTCATTCCTTTTAACCAAAACTTTTTAACTGTGTCCTCAATAGAGACCAACTCAATCTAAATTATCTTAAAGGAAAAGCAAAATTCAGCCCTTATACCCTTGCACTGATTTAAATTGTTTATAATTTACAAAACAAGTACATAAGAAAAAATATGAATTTAAAATTTAAATGCAAAAATTGATTTCTTGATAAAATTTTTAGAATTATTTATAAAAAAAAAAAAAATCAGATAAGATGATCAATTTATATGCACTATTTGGATTTTATACAACCCTGATTTTCCAGGAGGTACTATAGCCGCCAGGAAAGAGGTGATACGTAACAAAATCCGAGCCATCGGAAAAATGGCTCGCGTGTTCACGGTGCTCAGGTAGGTGGTGTGTGCTGCTTGGTTGGCTGGGTTTGTTTATGAGTGTGTGTTTGAATTTGTTACAGATGGTGCAGTGGCAGCCAGGAAAGAAGTGATACGGAACAAAATCCGGGCAATCGGCAAAATGGCACGTGTCTTCACTGTTCTGAGGTACGTGTCCTTTGACCAAACAAAATCAGAAAAATCAGAAATCTGGCTTCCTCTGTCCTCTGGTTCTATTGTAAAGAAGAAATGGCTTTCAATTAATCCTTCACCAGAGTGAACTTTAAAAGTTTTGGCCCAGAACACAGATATCACTCGTTTGCTTTTGAAGGTCTGAAGCATACTGGAAATCTGCTTATTGCATTTTTAAGGTTTCCAGTACATGTACATGACTTGAATAGTTGAAGCTTGCTTTGATTACACAATTAAAATGCACTTTGACAACCTTGTGAAAATAGAAGGAATTTTATGAATTTAATATACTTCTGTTCAACATATGTAGGTGAAAAGATAATTTGTAGGAAAGGGCCTGATGATAAAAGTTTTCAAAACAGTTCAATTTAACGTTTTGGAAGATCAATCAGAAATTCCAAAAAGTGCAAAAGCATATTATGCTATGAATATTCATGCACTGTTAATTAAATGCTATAAGTCCTGAATGTGTATGCAGCCACATGTTGCATGAACCCCCAGTGAATATGTAAAATTAATTATTATTTTATCCCTAATGGCATATATAAAGATATTGTTTTTCATTAACACACATTGTTAATTATATATTGATAACACGATTTAACCTGCTCCTTACTATTTAATTAAAACATTTCTCAAATACACAGATATCTCCAATGTAGGTATTTCAATGACCTTTGGACAATATAAAATATATCATTTGATAGGCCAATAATCCTCACCTTTCAGAGGCTTTCCCTAAAAAAAAAATCACAAGTGTTAAAGATAGGAGATAATGCTTATTGCTTATTTGGAAGTATTTTTATTGAGACATGCTTATTTCTATCACCTTTGATAGTAGGAAAGCATATTTACTAAGTATAATCAATAATTAATGTATTATAATAAAAAATGAACATATCTTTTAATTCAGTGTTGAAAAAAAGATATATAAAGTTAATAAATGAATAAAGATTATTAAAGTTAATATTTTAAAAAAGAAAGATATGAATTAAAGGAACTTGCATCAGGTCTGACATAAAGTATATTAATTTTGAACATTAACAACAGTGATTTCATTTTCATTTCATAAAGAAAAGAAGGGAAAGTAACACTTTTCTCAGTCTTTGCAATATATTTGCATATTTTACTAGATTTTAGAGAGAAAAAAAATATCTTGACAATATATTTCAGAGAGGAAAGTGAAAGTGTCCTGCAACTGAAGGGGCTTACACCCAATGGACTTCTACCACTAGGGGCATTGTCAGGTGGCAAAGAAACACTTTCAACAGGTATTGTTAAATCAAAAGCTGGCAAGGACCAATGTGAAATGTCCAAAAAAAATTCTATATCTAATTCAATGGCAAGATGACTGGCTTTGTCATGTCTGTCTTTAATTTTGGTTGGTTCTAAACTTGGGCCTCATGTTTCTGAACTAGGGCCTCGGGTACAAGAAGGAAAATTTTAAAAAATGTTTTCATCATTGCATCTGACTTTAAAATGAGATCTTAACAATTACCTCATTTTAAGATGGATTTTATGCAAGATGTACATTGCTCAAGCAAAGTTGAATTTTTTTTGTAGCATTGAGTGGATTTTCACCAACTCACAAAATCAGTGGGTTCGAGGAGGCAAAATGCTTAGACAAAATGAATGAAAGAAGACCACCAGAGAAAGACTCCCTAAACAATTCCACAAGATAAGAAAGAGCTGGCAAGATGATGAGCTGGTCTCCTCATAGGCAATATCTGAGACTGCACACCGAACACTCACTGGTCATGTGCAGTCTCATCTGTTTTGTCATTTCGGCTGTCAAACAACAGCAGAAGGGAAGATTTTTTTCTAGCATGCTACCAATTCTCATAATTTTCCATTTTGTAATATCTGCTGATAATGCATTTTGCCGGATTTCTACAGAGTTTATGGATTTCTACAGAGTTTATGCATTTGCTCACTCATCCTTTTATCTGTAAATGAGTTTACTTTGTAAGGACAGGATTCTGATATTTTTTCAGTGATAGTGCAAGAGTTGTTTTCATTCTAGTCATAGTGTAGAAAACTAAAGCATTTTTCAGCAAGGCCAGCTGATGACTTAGTGTGTAGCAGATGTCTTGGTGATGTTTGACAGGGTATATACAGACAAAGAGGGCAGCACAGCTTTCAAAAGGAAAAGTAACACAAAAAAGACCTGCTTCAACTGGCTTGAATTATGTATCACAAGTGTGTGCGAGAGTTCATCGGACATAAGTTGTACTAATCACAACTTGCAAACACTCTCTTCAGGAAAACCTCTAGAAAGACTTCAGCTTTTTGTGATAAAAGAAGTGAACAAAAAAAGTGTTTTTAAAAATGCTACAGAAATGGAAATTTTGAAGACATATAAATGTGTGATTGAAAAAAAAATCTCATGAAGTAATCACAAGGAAGGGAAGTAAATTCGAAAAAGATCTGTGCTGAATGAACAAATGCAATTGATTATGTATATGTCATACTCTGTACGCATCCTCCAGATTTATGGGAGATTGCTTTTTATGTATGGATTGTTCATGTTTGTTTACATTCTCGCATTGATCTGTACTTATATATAAATATATACATGTATATTAATATAAGTGTTGAATTTTAATTGGTGTGTTTTCTCAACAACAAAAAATTCCCCCAATTTTAGTGTATCTGAATTACTAGTCCCATTAAATTATTATTTCTTTGCTATTTCTTGTGGATGTATGCATCATGTCGGTACTATTAACGATTTTGAAGCTTTGTATGTAGTGCTATAAACAAAGAGAGAGAAATCCAGAACTCTTTTTTTTTCCTTTTTATTGTGGTATTTAGGGAGATGCCACACACTGTAAGTCTGCAACACACAACAGTGACAGTGCAATTCAAATTACCTATGTCCTTTTTTGCATATGAACCAAACATGGTTTTTATTTCATAGGTTTAAAATCAAGACTACCTTTTTTTCTTCCTCATTTAAGTTTCATTGAGATATATTCCAGTGTTAATTTTTGAAATCTTTGACTGAAATAAAAAAGAGAGCAGAAAAGTTACAGATGTTATTTTCAAGATGTTTGATACTTCTAGTCAGTAATTTTGTTAATGGTTAACATGTTTGATATAACAGCCAGTAAAATTGTATAATGTGAGTTGTCAGCTTTTCATAATTGAAGCACTTTCTTCCCTTCCAAAGTAAAAGGAAAATTATTAAATGTTTAGATACCTTTACGGAACAAATTCATCTATTTTTCGCAAAGTGTTTGTAACTAATTTGAAATATTAGCTTTTTCTTTTTTGGATTACATGTAGCTTATTGAATGGTGTACTAGTGAGTCTGCAGTGAGAGGCTTCTTTGTTTAGTAGCAGCACACCTTACTGGTTTATTGTTGATGTTATGAAATCCCCTTCCCCTCCCTTCCTTACTATTTTTTTTTCATTGGATGATAATATATGTAAATGCCATGTTTAAGCAATGAACAGAAGTGTATTTTGCAGATATTTTTTCATTATTATGTATGTCATTCCGATTTTCAATATACTAATGATGAAACCTTATTCAGGGCTCGTAGTAGAAAATTGTCTTAGCTCACAGTGCAATTTGTGTTTTTTTGTGGTTGAGTGACCTTGTTGCATCCTACTAATGTAACTTGTTATTAATATATATTTGTAGAATTGTTCTTAGCCTTTTTGGCACTAAACTTCAGTTGTTATTCCTCAGTTATAAAAGCAGAATTTTTCAATTTAATATGAACCTCACCTTACAAGTCTTTCCCTACCTAGTTCTTGGTTATAGTTGATATCATTATGTTTGTATTTATAAACAAAAAAAAAAGATAATTTAGAAATTTAAGCATGTTTCTAAAATGTGCTATACTGGGTTTCTTATGACATGTCTAAATTAAAAGCCAGGAATTACAAAGTGAGCAAATGCAGAAAACAGTCTCGTGATGGCCATTCATCAAATTTATTGGATGCCTGAAGCCTGGTCAAGGTATCAGTTATTGTTGAAAGAATGAAAGGAATTTTTTTCTCATTATTTATTTTTTTAGTATTGTTGTCATATTCCCGGTATATGCACAGAAAGAAAGAGGGTTGATAGAGTGTTGTATATCTGCAGTTTGTTGTAACTAAATTCATGTTATCAAATTTTGATTCTTTCAATTTATTGTATTATAAGGAATGTGTTTCCATTGAAATGTAATAATGAGTCTACTTTCTGGATAGTGTAGTTGTGGCGTATGTTGGTCACAACAGAAAAAAAATGGTCCATAGCCATTTCAGCAGTGATAACTTTGATGTTAATCTTTAAATGTGTTTTACAATTCTCTGCAATTTAAACAGTTTTGACAACTTTTAGGTGTTGTCTTTAGATGTCTGGAAACTGGTGTTGTTCTTCAAACCATTTTCTCTACCAACAACATTTTTATACTTAATAAATAATTACTACAAAAAATACTTTGTGTTTTTTGCCACAAGTTTTCATCAAAATTTTTTGTTAAGAAAGAAGATGGGTTAATAAGACCTAATAATGCCTATAATGTGACTTAAACAGTTTGAAAATTTAGAATTTTTTCCTTTGATTTTATTCGATATATATAAAACCTTACATTGTTTGCAAAAATTTGAAATCATTTGTCTATGAAACAAGTAGCATTCACTCATCAAAGAGTAAAAATATTCATTTCTTTGGACTGAAATGCAATTCTGTCCAAATGAGTGATTCTTTAGTTCACCTGTTTCAGGTAAGATGTTTGTCATTTTAATAACATTTGAACATCTTCAGCTTCTTCTCATAAACCAATTTGAGCCAGTCATGAAACAGGATTAGGCAAAGGGGAAGCAATAATTGTAAATTTCATGGCCCTTGCCTCCCGGGAACCTGAAGGTTGAAGCCAAAAACATTTAAATCTTAAATGTAAATGTCGTAAAAAATATTCTCTACCTCCGGACATACAATCAGTGAAACTGTTGGCATGATTATAATAAGCAATGAGACCTTTATTGATATTGTCAAATTTAGGGCCTCACAACTGGGGGTTCGGGACTTACGATTGAGTTCTGTTGAAAATATATAGTGAAAAGGAATTCTATAACATTCTTCTCTACCTCTAGGTATACTGAGCAGATAAAGTGGACGTGCCCTGGATCAAATTTATGTAGTATAAAATGCAATAATGCTATAAGGATTTCCTTTCCCTGTGTGTATATTAGGCATGAAAATGAAATGAAAAGCTATGAAGAACAAGGGTGCCTTGTACAAAATAGTGAAATTCAGTTCTGACGTTGGGGGAAAGTGACTAGACTTTGTGCCTGGGTATTGAGCAGATAAACTAAGTGCGTGATTGTAATGAGCAAGGGTCACTCTGCCAAAGTCGTGAAATTTGTGGCCCTTGGGTGGGGTTCTGGTTTAGAGTGGAGATCTGTTGATCAAATATTTAAAATAACAAATTATTTTAAAGCCTTCTTTACCCCATAGGTATCTATGCTTGAACTGAGTAAGGGCGTCTTTTTCCAAATTTAAGAGATACTTGGCCTTGATGAGGATGGAACTCTTAATATTTATACGGTTTATACAGTGAAAGTGCATCATTTCTTTGAAAATTTTAACTTACCCTTGGTATTTAGCAGACGAAGTAAGTGCGTGGTTGTGATGAGCAAGGGTCCCTCGAACAAAATTGTGAAATTTGTGGCCCCTGGGTCAGGGGTTCTAGTTTAGGGTTGGACTCTCTTGATCAAATTGTAAAAATACATAAATTATTCCAAAGTCTTAATTGCCCCTCCGCTGGGTATTTAGCAGGCTTATGCTATGTTTTTGTTGAGTTGGTCTTTTAAGGATGGAACTCGTAATGATTATGTGGTTTATATAGTGAAAAATGCATCATTTCTTTGAAAACTCCTCTGTCCCTGGGTATTTGGAATACATTATTATATGGTAATGACGAGCAAATGTGTCCTTTCCAAATTATGAATTTCGTGACCTGGACCAGGGATTCTAGTGTTGGGTGGGGTTCTGCTGGTTATATAATTAGATTGCATAAATTCTTTGAAAACCACATTCCTTTCTCTTGGGTATTAAGCAGTTGGACAATGCATTACTAGTATTATGAGCAAGGGTCACTCACTTTATCTAAAATTGTGAAATCCATGGTCCCTGGATCAGGAGTTACAGTATTAGAGTGAGTCTTTCTGATTGTAGTATCAGAGTGGGATTATGATTACATGAATGCTTGAAAATCAAGATTCCAAAACCTTATTAGTGCACATCTAAACAACACTCCCATTCACATTCATATTTTCACATTTAAAATATGAATGGACTGCTGTAAAAAATGTTCAGGGAACAGGGCTCTCTCTAGGGGAAAACGTTTTTGACCCTAATCGTCTCGGGGTAAAAAATATATTCTGAAATCTAATCGCATGAAATCACCAATCAAGTTCCTAAAGCTGAGTTGGCTACAGCAAATATTGTACGAGGAGAGGGGACCAGACTTTTTGTACAAAAACCCGATGGTTTTTGAACCCTAATTCCCCCAGAGTGAAAAATCAAAATTCCGAAACCGTATTGTATCTAGAGTATACTTTATATGAATTGGCTTATGTGAAATGGGGAAGCAGCTTCTTTTTACCCCCATTTATCTCTTAGGGTGAAAATGAAGATTTCTTTGCAGATGTTCAAGGTACAACCAATCGTATTCCAAACGATAAGTTGGCTTCTGCCTTAACTTTGTAATTTAACAATCGAACAAATCATCATGTTAATATAATAAACAACAAAATGATCTATATATGATAAACAGTACTAACGGTTGTAAAAACATTCAACGATACACCATGCTTTACGGTCAGCATCTTGGCAGTCTCTCTCTCTCTCTCTCTCTAGGATGGGGGGTTGAGGTACGAGAGGTGACTTGTAACTCACAGAGAAGTCGAACACCACACTAGTGTCTTTATTATTCATGTTCGATACTAGCAAAACTTTGAACTTCCTCGTATCTAGATTCTTCTTCATTTCTAGAGAAGAGTTTTCTACACTGCATCATCATTAGGAATATTCGGCGCAAACTTTCTCTTCGGAGGATAACGTAGAGCCAAGGATTAATTTGAGAGTTCAGATACATTAAACGAATAAACCACAGTTCTTTTTTGTTGTTTCCTTTCGTCAAATTTGTTGCGTGGAGAAAAATGTCGATCTGCAAAAAAAAAAATTCACATGTACTAGAACCCAGTGAAAAGATTTTATTTCCATTTTTTTTCAAACTGCTGAATAGAAATGGTCTCTATATATAACTAGCATGCTACTGAAACAACCTTTAAAGCTAACTTTTTCTATACTTACCAAAAGGGGTCCCCAAAGGAAAACAAATGTAAACATAGAAATGACCAAGAACTTGGTCACGTGAGTGTCATATATTCCTGTTACTAGATTGTTATCGAGAAGTAATGCTTGGTACTCCGTGTTTCTACAACTCATGATCACAGTTTTGAAACCTATGATGACTGTCACAATCATAATTGAGATTCCAAACACGGAATAGATTAAGGCATTAACTTTATTTCCCAAAGTTTTGCTGGTAAAATCCAGAAAACACCAAGATCCCGGGTAGTACAACTGACTGTTTCCGAGTCCCATCACATGTAAAATTGATATTGCAACCGTTATACATAATAAAGCACACAATACACCGATGTATTTCAGTCTAGAGTTAACAGCCATTTCTGAGGGTGGTCGTTGAATGTATAAATACCTATCCATGGTCATAACACAAATGAACATTCCTGAAGCCAAATGTGAAAATGTTTCCAGGAACGAAAGAAAATCACAAAGTTCATAGGAAAGACACCACGTAAAATGGGAAATGTACCTTTGAAGAATTAAAGGATAGCAAACGGCATTATTTATTAAATCCGTGATTACCAGACCAGTAAAAAGAATATAGAAGGACTGGAATTTGTGTTCATGTCGACTCACTAGGAGTAAAACAATCGCTAGAATGTTTCCTAGACCTCCCAGTGTCATCTGAATGTACACCGGGATAGCATTCTCGTGTTCCCTCTCCTCACATAGAATACGATAAGCCGTCTTGTTCCTAATCATCACACTTAAATGTTCATACTTTCCCTTTCTTCACTGGGGTGCACAGTCCATGGGGAAAATTATCATATATTATACATCCTTGTATGGGATCAAAGTTCTACTTCCTGTAACTTTTCGGAGCTTTATAAATTTAAAATTTATTTGAATTTCGCATGATTAAACTTTGAATGACTTTTGCTTCCTTCCGGGAAATGTCTTGCTATATATACTTGAAAAAAAAACACATATTAAATCGACTGAAATTATCCACAAAATATTTTAAAACTTATATACATGTACATTTTTTTACTTTACAAGCTAGTATAAAAGCTTAAGACTAAAGACAGGATCGAACTTCAACAAAAGAAAAAAAATGAACAGTTATCGATTTAAAAAAATCTATAAATCATACAAATCATTGAACAGGGCATTAAACAAGGACTCTCCGAAATCAAGCGCCTTGAAGAGTAAGCATCTTAGACCATCAGGATCATACAAAGAAATTCTCTGAAAATCTTTGCAGAAATTCACGAAGTGTACTCTCAATTCATCAGATCCGGATCCGCGCCTTACTGAATTACATATTTTTTTCGTTAATTCCCGATCATGACAAGGAGCACACGGCGGGTGTGACCGGTCGGCAGGGGATGCTCACTCCTCAATGGCACCTGATCCCACCTCTCATGTTTTAAAGGTCTGTGTTTGCTCTGTTCCTGATTTGGATTGTTTAATGAACGTTTGAGTTCGAATACTGTTCGTCATCTTCATACATTTCACTCAATTGCTTTACACTCCACTTTTAAGGATAAATAACACAAACTTTTTTCAGAAATCAGCATTATTCTTCATAGATTTACATTTAAATTGACAACCTGAATAAAGTTTACCAAGTAGAGTGGGAGAATTATATCAGATTTTGTCATAAGGTTAAAAAATTGTGCAAAATTTTGTATGAAGTTATATAGAAGGCAAAACAAAATCTCATATCTAAGCACCAAGGAAAACCTACGATTTCTTTATATTTCAGGGATTTATTATTAATGTCATTTCAAATCAAAATCAGTCAAAAAATATATATCAACCCGCGCATCCATTTTTTGTTTGTGGTAAGTACCCTTAAAATATATTTCATTTGGTCTTTTCATGTAGAATCCTTTTGTTTAACCTTAACTTCCTAGTACGAACTAGCTTTTCTCTCTGTCTGCATTTACAATGTAATGCTAGAAGCTCATGATATGGGAATGCATGGGGAGATAACAAATCAATGTACAACTATATGAAAAATATTTTGTCATTGCTGAAAAAAAAAAGTTTCTAGTAATAATCATAAATTACATTTTTTTTTTTATTATCTGTGTTGATGAAAAATTCCAATTAAAGTTCATCACACTTATGTTATACATGTTATAGGTAATGTTGTTTTTATTTTAAAATTAATTCAGTCTTATTTTTAAAGTTTCACACTACAGGCAGCTCAAATGAGAGTCAAAGTCACATAAATACTGTTACAGTGGAGAAACAGAAATTTGATTGAGGATTAAGAGCTGCTGAAACCTTCATCATCATCTTCATTCCTAACGATGTTACGAATCTCCTCATCATATTCTTCATTATTTTTTTCTCCAGAGCAACACTGTCTTCTGCATCGCAAACAACACACGAAAAACCTGCGCAAACTCTCTCTGCGCAGAATTACGTAAAGCCAAGGATTTATCTGGGTATTCAGGTACATCAATCGAACAAGCCATAGTTCTTTTTCATTGTCGCTTGTTGTTAAGTCTGCAGCGTGTAGTAAAATGTCAATCTATCAAAAAGACATGTTTAATGAAATGTTTTGTTCGAGGTAAAAATTTAAATAAGTTGTATGATTGAACATATTCCTTATAAGAAATAAAAGAAAATGTATGAATACAAACCAAAAGTGGTCCCCACAAGAGAACGAATGTAAATATCGAGATAAAAAGAAACTTGGTCACGTGACTGTCATATATACCAGTCACAAGTTGATTGTCGAGTAGTAATGCTTGATGCTCAGAGTTTTTATATGTCATTGAAATGGTTATGATTCCAACGACAATAGTCACCAACATAATGCTTATCCCAGTTAAAGAATATATAAAAGCGTTAATTTTATTACCCACAGATCTGCTCGTAAAATCAAGAAAACACCATGATCCGGGGTAAAATAATTGACTGTTGCCTACTCCTATAAGCTGTAGACTCGAAATTATTCCTGATATAATTAGAAGAGTACAAAACAGGGCAACATATTTAAGCCTGGAAAATCGTTGACGTTTAGATTTCATATATAGATATCTATCAACGGTCATAACTCCAATGGTCAAGCCGGATGCAAGGTGGAAAAAGGCCTCCATGAAGGAAAATAAATCGCAAAGTTCTTCCGGAAAACACCAAGTAAAGTGAGAAATATATCTTCGAAGGACAGCAGGATAACATACACAGTTATGAATCAGGTCCGTCAATACTAGTCCAGAGAACAGGACATAGAAGGACTGCCATTTATGTTCACGGCGGCTCAACCACAGTATGACAGCCGCCAGAATGTTTCCTAACGCACCCAGAGTCAGTTGAATGTACACTGGAATGGCGCTTTCATTTTCTTTCTCATCACATAAGATATGATAGGCTGTTTTATTCCGCATTATCAATAGCCCTCTAGGAAGCCAATTTCAAATAGAAATTTTAAGTTGTCCCTCCCAATTGCTGAAAGCATGAGACATCTTAATATATTTCCTAAAATCGAATGTATGAATCAATGTATGAATTTCCTTCCCTGTAATAGATCAAGTAAGTATCCTATATATAAACTCTTATGAACTCCACATTTTTGATAAGCGATCACATACATGTATAACAACTTGCATTAAACTTCGTTAAGATTTCATTTTCATAAAACTGTTTTGCTTAAATGATAACAGGAAAGCCACCAGCAGCTGATGAGGTCAACATGTCGCTCTACTGCTCGATGTTAAAAGGTCATGTGACTTTGCAAACCAAATCATTTTATCGCAAAGTATGGAATACATGTAATAAAACTTTAAGTACTAGTATTTAAAAGTAAATCTTTTTGAATAGTTGGAGCTCAAGCGTTTATACTCCACATGTGTACTACACGTGTCCACACCCTTTTGACCTTGACCTTTAAGTTTGACCAACATTTGAAAAACTTTAACCTTGGAAATAATTTTGAACGGTTGGTGCTAGACTTTCTTATATTACATTTGTATTCCTTGTATCATCTTTGCTAGCCAAGGGTTTCTGATATGCTTCTCTCCTTATTATGAAGAGAGTAGCGTATCAGAAACCCTTGGCTAGCGAAGATGTCCTTGTAGTTGTATTAACGTCTTTATTTACCACATGACCTTGACCTTTAAGATTGGTCTACATTTGAAAAGACTTAAACTTGCTTACTTTTTACAGGTTGCTGCTAGGACTTTCATATTTTATTATGCATTCCTTGTAACAAGAAACCTCCTTTCGTGCCATTATTTTTTGATATGTCAATGACTTGAAGTATTTTTAAAAAATATTCTTGGACCGTCAATTACCATACTTTCTAAGAAAATAGATTGGTTGCTTCTGTGACAAATAATAAGCAAAACAGTAAGCTACCTTTAAAATAATCTACGTCATGCAACACAAAGTTGGTAAGAAATACTTGGAAAACTTAACTAGATCAAAGTTTTTATGTTAGTGAAGCCCACACACTAACAAAACACGAGATGATTAAAATATTTTTCATTTTTATTCAGAGTTTACATGCATATATACATGTACACCCAACAAATAATATTCACTGAAATTATGACATGAACAACAATGTACTACAATGTAAAATGATATATACATGATTTGGAGATAATTCATAAACAACAATAAAAAACATATGTCACATCCTGGAGAACAAACACACTATGGCTAGTTACTTCATTCAAAGGAAAAGTCTTTCAAAATTTTTGAGAATGTCTATCAAAATGCAGTGTAGTTTGGATTTCCCATATTTCCCCCCATGTTGCCCATACCTCCTCCCATGTTGCCCATACCACCGCCCATATTACCCATACTACTGCCCATATTGCCCATTCCACCTCCAAAATTGTTCATACCACCTGAAAGAGAGAAAAATACACCTTTTAAGGACAGATGATATAAACAAACTTATGTCAAAACAAAAAATTTGAAAAAACAACTTGTGTCATGTTTAAATGAGTAATATGAATAATTTTCACCGCATAGTTTTTAATTTTTTATTCAAAATTTCACAGAAATGGGATTTGAAGTGAAAAATATTTGTATAGATTAATAAGGATGGTTTCAGAGGGGTAGACTTTTGAACATCACAGAAGGTTTACAATTTCTTTATATTCTAGAAATTTGTTATTTGCATCATTTGCAATGAAATTAGGCCAAAAAATATATATTAATCCAGGCATCCATTTTTTTGTTTGTATCGTCTATCCTTAATAAAAGATTTATAAATTATTTATCCTCAATCAAAAGGCACAATGAACAATCAAAAACTTCTTTCTAACATTGAATAGACTTGTAAATTTTCTTTTCTCCATATTCCCTCACATTAAATTATTAAAAGATGGTGTGGTCTCCCAGATATATAAGGGTGCCTATACAATTATACACAGATATTTAGCTGGAATTTTTTTTTGTCCTTTTCTTCATTTTGATATTTTGTGATAAATTTTTCTATATGACTTTATAAATGACAAATAGAAAGAATGTAATAGTTCAATTTATCAAATCAATGCATTGTGTGTAACATGTATGTGATGTTTTTTGTTTTTCTAATAAAATAAAAAAATTAAATAAATAAAAGATATAAATTTATGCACTTAAAACAAATGGAATCACTTATCAACAAGTTTTAAATATCATATTAAGATTACACTACCGTCAAAATCCTCTGAATCATCAAAGTCGTCGTTATCACCGTATCCCCCTCCCATGTTCCCCATGTTTCCACCCCCTCCATTAAATCCACCTCCTTGTCCGTAGTTCTGTCGTCCGGCAGGGGTCGAATTTAAGAACAGCTCTATGTATCGGTGCTCTAAAACAAGCATAAATCTCCATTAGTTTCATATTTTTAATTGTTAACTCTCTGCGTGAAAAAAAAACTTGAATCGTTCAATACAACTCACGATCAGTGTTCTGATACTTACGCATATTTTTTTTGTGTCTTGACATGGCTTCCACGGCATCTGAGTGTGTCT